CTACAAAGAGGCAGAGTAGATAATTTACAAATATATTTCATAACTGACTGACAGACAAACGTCGTACTTGTCACTTGAAGGCGTGAGACTCCAGAACAGCACACATGCTCCAGCTGTTTCCGCTAGCAATGTCCATTCCAATTCACGAATGAATCATTCTATTGAGTCGAAACTTTTCAATAAATTAGTTGAACCGTTTCACAAAACTGGTCGAACGAACGAACTAACTAACTAACTAACTTAATAAATAAATAGCATTGCAAATTTGTTTACGACTTATCACCAGCCAAACAAAACAGTTGGTTATAAATACAATTGTATTATAACGCTTTTAACAAAGGGATAATAAAATGATTTAAGTTTGGGTTAAAAGGGACTTGTTTTATTAGCTGCATAATGGTTGCAAAAAAATGACACATAAAGCATAACAAATATCTAATAAAACAGTGCATGTAGAACATTAGTGCATGTAATATTTTCCCCCAGAATGTCAGTGACAGTATGATAACGCATATTGTAAATAATTCGCTGAATCTGTTTTTGAACCGATTCTTTGCCGCGAATGGTTCAAACGAACCGACTGAACCGACAAGAGTCGGGATTCTTGTCAAGATTCCGCCCCTTAAGTTTAATTAAAAAATAACATGTTGTTTTGGACATTAGATTAAACATAGTTCTGTCGCATTAATCACTACAGTGTTCTATTCAAGCAGTCAATCCAAACGCGTTATGTATCAGCACTGCCGCTGTTCAACAATGCGACTGGACTCCGCGCATGCGCATCGTTGTCACGTTTTGACGCTCACGCACAATGCCACTTCACGGCGTTAAATATAAACAAATTATACGCCATACAATTACTTTCGGTTTTACGCTTTAAATTGAACGGCTGAATGACCGCCGGATTATCCTTCTGAACGCAGGATAATTCGGATCATGCGGCGTTATTTTTTGCTCTGGTTTTGCGGTGATGGTGTTGATCTTAATGCTGCAGGTCGTGCAGTCGCCACTACGTAATCCTTTTGCTTATGGGAAGTATCCGATCAGTTGTGGCTTGTTTATCGCTAGCTATAGCGAGGAAAATGAGCGCTGCGGCAGGGCTGTGCGGGCCCGGGACATCTGCTGCTGCGCCCGGGCTGCTCCGCCTAAATTCAGTCCCCGGTTACGATCAAAACCGCGTAAATGATGTTCTGCTCTTAAGACCTGCTACGGAAACGCGGAGACGATGCGACAATGAAACCGAGAACCTGCGGAAAGGAAATGATCACGTACTCTTCTTTCCTGGAGACATTCAGGTTGGTGCAAGTCATCAGTCCTGAATCTGTCATGGTACCAGTGACTGCATGCCGTAAATTACGTTTAAAAAAGAATGCGTTAGGAAGTAGGAAAGAGCTCAGCATAGTCAGGAATTAGATCATGCTTGTGCATTTTTTTGATTTGATCCCAAATATGCCTATTGCTAGTAATAAAGACTGTACTAAACTGTGGAGCCCCTGTAAGATACCTCTTGGAGTATTCATTAAAGTCATTTGATACAGTTTAGCTTCTGTTGCGACTGGGCTGGATCTCTATATTTAGTTTTTCATTAGACACTTTGAAAACCTGGCCCAGGATACGTATAAGAGCGTACTGCAGAAGTCCGTTTAGTTATTGCACAAATGTATCAATGTCACTTCACTTCAAGGTTTCTGAGGATTTCTGAATTCCTTTCGACCTGGAGTGATGCTCATATCACTTTGTTCACATATCACATGTGCATTATTTTCCATTCGAAGTTTATATTTCGGTTAAGCCTTTATTTTGAGAAAAGAAAAATGTAAAGTAAATAAATAAATAAAATAAAAATGGTTGGTAAGATTTTTGTTTTTGGAAGTGTTTTATGCTCATCAAGACTGCATTTACAAAATACAATAATAACAGTAACACTGTGAAATAAAATTGAAAAATAACTGTTTTCTATTTTAGTATATTTTTAAATGTAATTTATTACTGTGATGGCAAAGCTTAATTTTCAGCTTATAGTATAGTAGAAGATGTATAGTAATCTGTGCCAGTTGTGTGGCTTAATATTTTTTTGTGGATACCCGGATACTTTTTTTCAGGATTCGTTGATGAAAAGAAAGTTCCAAATAATTTTAAATGGAAATGTTTTGTAATATTACATAATGTCTTTGCAGTCAATTGATCTATTTAATGCCTCCTTGCTGAATAAAGGTATTAATTTATTTTAAAAAAGAAATAATAATAATAATAAACTGACCATAAACACTAGAACACTAGTACATGCTTCACAGCTATTGAATATGTCTGAATTAAAGGAACATTTTTCTTTTAGATAAATGAAAAGACTTGAGATTTATTCCTGCTGTTTTCTTCTACAAGAATGTTAGTAAAACATTGAATATACTTGAATCGTGAATATGGAAAATTAGGAATTTTAAATGGAAATTAATAAAATTTTGTCATGGAAGTCATGGAAATTCCTACAGTGAATACATTTTTGTAATTATGTGCAGCTGTAAAATCTTTAATCAGTGAGAAACTGTTCTTCATAAATGCATTAAAAAAAGTATTCATCCCCTTTTCATATGCAACTTTTCATTCTCATCCACCATGCAGAACTTTCAGCAGGAAATGGCCCTCCAGCCTGACGCTGCCCCATGGCAGTCCTGGAGTCTGGAGCGTGTCGCCCTCACCCTGGGCCATCGTTTCCCTGGCTGCCATATCTGGGTCATCCGCGCATCCCAAATGTACCTACACAAGTTCAGCTGCTATCAGAACTTTGTAGAGAGCAACTTATTTGGAGCTCCAGAACACTCTCTAGACTACGGAGCTGTTCACCACCTGAGAGCACTCCTGGGTCACAGCATGCAGCGGGCTGGCCTCCCAAACCCTTTACCCCCTCTTAGTGGTACATCCACCCCTGGCCCGCTGCCTGCAGGCTTCACCCTGACCATAGTGGGCTTCAGTAAAGGTTGTGTTGTTCTCAATCAAATAGTGTATGAGCTGGCTGGAGCTCGAGCAGATCCAGAACTGAGGTTGTTTCTGGACAGTGTTTCAGATATGTACTGGTTGGACGGAGGACACCCTGGTGGCAGTGAGACGTGGGTAACCGATAAGTGTGCCCTGGGTGAGCTGGCCTCCAGTGGGGTGGCCATCCACACTCATGTCACTCCATATGAGGTATGCGACCCAATGAGGGCCTGGGTTGGGCGAGAACACCGGCACTTCATAAAGACTCTGGAAAATCTGGGCGCTTGTCTAAGCCAGAAACTGCACTTTGAAGATGAGCCGGCATCCATTGAGAATCACTTCCGCGTCATTCAGGAGTTCTGACTGTTCTCGATCTGTGCTTTCACAAGTCTTAACATGGAATGTATTCTTTGCAGAGCAAACAGCTTTGTATTGCACTGATATATCAGTTAGTCAAAAGCTATGGGCTTCCAGGCTTTGGAAGAATAACTGTATGCTGCCTATACAGCACTCATAAAATACAAGAGAAGATTAAAGCTTAATGACCAACCTTGTAAAGCATTTAGCTGCCTGACATTAAGCCTAATTGTTTGCCTGTTGCAAATACCTACATCAGCTCTGTCTGATATAGAATGATATTTCTTTTGCGTAGTCTGTTTGAAATGCAGATATGCTTTGTAAAATCATCACCTCCCTTATGTTCAAAGGGCTCTCATTTCCCACAACATAGAAAAGAGAAATCTGAAAATGCTTATTATTAATATTATTATTTAGTTTTTATGTTGTTAAATTAATAAGCATGGCTTTTCATCTCAAGTATGTGTATCTCTTATTACATATAGATACTGTTGAATGAAAAAACTTGTGCTGCTAAAGCATAGTCTTACATCAGCAGATTTGTTTTATTTTATATATATATATATATATATATATACAGTGGGTATGGAAAATATACAGACCCCCATATATTTTTCACTCTTTGTTATATTGCAGATTTTC